TTTTGAGAAGTAGACTTCACTAACAAATCTTATAAAATTTAGTTAATTCATTTATTTTCTGTATCTAATTCTGCATTTAATTTTTGTATTCCTACTATTATTGTTTTAATTCTATTTCCAATACCAACTTTAGGTTATAACTTTGCGTCCACTACCAACCTTAGGTTACATATTAACTACCCACTAAAAACTTTATTATGCTTGTGTTAATACCATCTGATAGTGAATGGCCTATAAATTACACTAACATCTCTTGACACTTGGAGAATTAACTCTGTGATTTTGGTGTGAAGATACAAAAATAAATAAAGCTAAATAAACATTTCAATGTAAGAGATGTGAAAGTATCATTTTTTTTTTCATCCAACTAGAACTATTTTTTTTTTTACTATTTAGAGTTAGGGCTGTGCAAAAATATCGCCAAATCCGCTAAAACCGTACCAATCCGCATCAATCCGCACCACTCTAACCGCTAACCGTGGTTTAAACTTTAAAATTTATAATCCGCTAACCGAACCGCCGCCTTCACACTGCTCTGCTCCGTTATAGTTAATACATATATATTTTTTAACTTCTAATGAAATATCAATGTAAAAATGAGTGTGAGAGAGATTTAAGATATGAAATTTATTATCAATTAGTAGTTATATATATGAAACATATTATGTAAACTTACTTTGTGTTGTATATCTAAAAAATATTATACAAATTAATGTTATATATTATGCAAATGTATGATAATTAGTTAAAATGTTCTTCAATCCGCCAATCCGCCAAAAACTGCCCAAACCGCAATTTGTCAATCCGCTAATCTGCTAACCTACCATTCGGTTTGTAATTTTACTCTCCAACCACCCGAACCGCACCGCACACACCCCTAGTTGGAGTTGATTGATGGTCCAAAGACAAGGTTTTCAAAATCTGTTTTTCAATTTTTTTTTCTTTTTTGAAAAATTATAAATTAGCATGACAAGAATAAATACCAAAACTATATTTTCACCACAAAATATAAAATCATATAAAAATTATGGATTTTTTTTACCAAACTAATTTTTAATTAAAATAGATTTCATAAACAAAACCAAATAAAATGAATAGTTTACAATTAGTTTTAATTCTAGTTTTATATGTTATTATAATATTTTTAATTAGAAAGGCCAAAACATCCAAAAAAAAAAAAAAGCTCAGACTTATTTGAGAAATATTATGAACCCTACTAAAAATTGAAAAGAAGCAGGTGAGTTAAGAGGAACAGCAATGAGTCATGCTGGGTTAGTTAAAGAGGTACTAGTAACTCTAATTATCTGTTCATTCAATAGCTAAATATTCCACATAAAATGTCATTACTATTGACTTTTTCGGCTTTCGAACATTAAAAATGTAATTTGAGCGTGCCAGTAAGAATCAATAAGTCCTTATAGAAATAATAAATGCCAACCAATTAATCAGACAATTGTTTCGAAATTCTTTTAGATTCAATGAAGAGAATTTTTACTGGTGGCTTGTTTTTAGGAGAAAATTTAGAAGAACTAATCACAATAGTAAAAGAAGGAGGGAGAGAATAGTGTCAGAAAATAAATTTCATTAAGTAAACAAGCGTTTACAATTGTACCTTCGCATTTTCACAGCTCCGAAGGAGATTACAGACTACCTTAGAACTACTCCTAAGAAACTGAAATTCAGTGTGGGGAAGTAAATGATTGGAAGGTAAAGAACTGGAAAATAAATAACTAGAAAGTAAAGAACTGGAAAAATGTAAGGTAAAATAAATTGGTTTCTGGATCTGGTTTTGGGTCCTGTAAATGTAACCATCAATGGCTATTTATTGGAAAACACTTCTGGCAATAACTACCCAATAACCACCTAAAACTAACCACTCTTCCACTTTCATTCCCACAATGCCACATATCCCTCCATGTCTTTCACTGAGTCACTTTGTCCATCATATTCTTCACATGTGTTTTGACTTCTTCTACCTTGACTTCCATGTTCCACCATGCAAGACCACTAACTTTGTAACTTCTTTTAACTCCTGATTGATCAAGAAAGTGTCACGTGTCCTGCAATAATAATAATAGTAATAATAATAATATTACTATTTTGGTGTCAACATTACCTCTCGCGACTCTTTAAAAATTATATTTCTTTGAATTTTTGAAGAGCTGAACAAAGCACAAAACTAATATGAGTAATAAAGTGCTTTGAATACCACAACAACACCAACGAAGTGCTTCGAAAGAACACTACACTAAAGGCACATGCTTCGAATTCAATATGAGTGCTTCAAAGTGACCAATTCGAATCAAGAAGCACCAATTTGATTTAGACACAATACATACCAATCATGTTTGGTATGAGTCATGAGTAGAAGCTTTGTACTTTCTTAGGTGGCAAATTCAAAATTTCAACATGAGACACCAATTTGTAATCAATGAATGCATGCACTCACTGTGTATGGTGTCCAAAAATCATGGCTAATACTTCAATGACATAGCAACACTACAATGTTCAATATAAAAAAACCTCTTCAAACCTCTTTCAGAATCCTTCAAAGCTTCTCTGGCACCCTTTGAAGCTTACTAGAAGGTTCATTATAAAGAAGGACATATTAAAACCTCCTTGGAGTTACTTTGAAGCTAATTCAGAATGCTTAGAAGCCACTCTGAAATGATTTGAAGTTTACCGCCATGTAAAAGTAGCAAATGTCTCACTTGACAATAGCCATTATCATGGCAAAAAATTATGAGACGTCTCGAATTCTTGAAGAGTTGTAATTCCCATCCTCTAAAGGTATTACTAGAGGGCCAAAATCATCCTTCGAATGTTGAAGGTGCCGATAAAGGACTAATTACATCATTGGAAATACTCGGCAAAGCTTTGAAGGTTCACAACCACCATTATTTTTTTGTTCGAAGATGTTGATGCAAGATAGAGTGCTACGAAGCTAAAAAATTATGGCAAAAAGGGCTTTCGAAGCACACCAGTTGACCAACAACTAAGCCAAAATAATAATTGTTTATCTATCCAGTTCGAAGACAATCTGGAGTATAAAAACGTCATGTCTAATACATAGCAAAGACCAGCTTTTGGTCAAGAATGATGGTTTTCAGATTGCATGGTAAAAGACAACAAACATGTAAACTCATTGTGTTTTCTACAGAGCTTCTTCTACCTTGACCAACTGTAAATTTGTATTGGCCTCTATTCACATATAATCATGAAAATAACCAGGACCATTATTATTGGTCATTTTTATGCTTCTCATTGTGAAAGTGTAGGAAAAAAAACTCAACAAATATATTTTCTAGACTTCAATATTTTGTTAACCATTTCATCAAAATTAAATTTTGATGTGAACCACAAATCCGAAATGGATTTTGAACAACGAAGATAGTGGTATATGGTGGTTTTGGAAATTCAAATATTTTGAGATTTTCCACATCATCAAACATTTTAATCCACTAACTAAAGGTTGCTCATCATTTTTAACCAAACTTGGTTTAAAAACATGTTTCCTAACAAGCTTTTCATGACTTGGCTCTTTACAAATGGATGTATGAAACCGCAGAGCCATATATGAAATATCATTCTTATCCATGTTTGACTCAAGAACATGCTATTTTATTATGTTAATTTCATAATTTGGCTATTTAAAAACGGACTCTTGAACTCCCCGAGCAATTGATGAAGTTATTTTTCACCAATTTCAGTCATAAAAAACTTGAAAATATTTTGCAAAACCTCACAAAATTCAGTCATTAAAGACTTGACAAGAAGTGTTGATAACTCAGGTCTCCATTGGCAAATTCCCATATCAAGTTGATGAATTATTCTAATTAAATGATGTATTTTTTCTTCTACCAAATAATATGATAATGAAGTAACAACTTGAAAATTTTCTTCATCAAGAAAATGGATCTCTTCTTGAAGAACCAAAAATTTTCTTTCATGCCAATATATCTCATATTGATAAATTTGAATGGCAAAATCCAATTCGTTTGTCATTTCTTCTTCTATACCTTCTTCAAGGTGCGCATTTTCTCGTTGTCGTCTTCGTCTAGCCATTATAATGGTTGTCCCACTGGGTGTGCCAAAAATATATGTTGGCTTTTTTGGCTTTCGAAAGTTAAAAATATAATTTGAGAGTGCCAACAAGGACAAATAAGTCCTTACAGAAATAATAAATGCCAACCAATTAATCAGACAATTTCTTTGAAGTTCTTTTAGTCTCAATGAAAAGAACTTTTACTTGTGGCTTGTTTTTAGGAGAAAATTTAGAAGAACTAATCACAATAGTAAAAGAATGAGGGAGAGAGCAGTATCAGAAAAATAAATTTCATTAAGTAAACAAGCGTTTACAATTGTACATTCACACTTCCATAACTTTGAAGGGGATTATAGACTAACTTAAAACTACTCCTAAGAAACTGAAATTCAGTGTGGGAAAGTAAAGGACTGGAAGGTAAATAACTGAAAAGTAAAAAACTGAAAATACGTAAGGTAAAATAGGCTGGTTTCTGGATCTGGTTCTGGCTCCTGTAAATGTAGCCATAAATGGCTATTTATTAGAAAAAAAAACTTCTAGTAATAATTACCCAATAACCACCTAAAACTAGCCATTCTTCCACCTTCATTCCCACAATACCATATATCCCTCTATGTCTTCCACTAAGTTATTTTGTCCATCATATTCTTCACATATGCTTTAACTTCTTCCAAATTGTCTTCCATGTTTCACCATGCAAGATCACAAACTTTCTCTTAACTCTTGATTGATCAAGAAAGTACCACGTGTATTAGAATAATAATAATAATAATAATAATAATAATAATAATAATAATATTACTATTTTTTGTGTCAACAATTACTATATGGTTTTATTAATTAATAAAAATAAAATAAAATAGGGTTTGATAGTTGTGAGATTCAAAATAATCCTTCACATGGACTGTTATTGAAATTCAATGAAGATAGTCCCACAAGCCTGCAAGAGATAAATATGGTTGATGCCACCCATTTGGAGTTATTGGCCAGAGACACTCCAATAATGAAGTTAGAATCCATGAATGAAGACTATAGATCAGGAATAGTAAAGATTGTTGTGTGTGGAGTGCAAGGACAAAAGGCCTACATCTTGTATATGGGGTGTCCTCCTTTTATAGGGGATAACAGATATTTGTTTAGGATATTTTATCCCACATAGCTAGGATGTTTTTCTGGCCCCGACAATAGCCCCAAAACTTTCATTTTTTTTCACAAAAGAAGTGGAAGTTGTTTGTTCTGAGTTCGTAGCATAGACAGATGCTAGATCTTTGATGGATAATCTGTAGTTGATGTAGGTCTTACTTCTGAACCACATTATCGAGTGATGTTGCTTGAATAAATATTAAATCCTTTAGAAAAAGCATTTTTAATACATATAAACGCGAACAAAACAAATGAACAAATGTACGTATGAATGAGTGCATGAATGTATGTATGTGTGAATGAATGCTTGCTCCGAATTCAGAGTCTTGGCGCTCGACGTGCTGAGCACGAAGATTGCTCCAAAATATGGAGGCTTTGTTGTGGTGTACCATGCCGAGCATGATGATTGCTCCAAAATATGGAAACTTTTGTTGGTGTCAGGCGGCGATCAATTACAGACATTGCAAAGATAATAATTTGTGTCAATGATTGCATGTACCAAATAATGTAGATATATCAGCCACAAAAAGTGGAAAGCTATAAAAGCTATAAAAAGGATGGTGCGCAAAAATATGATAAGAACTGCTGAATGTGTAGCATGAGTGTATTGCCCCAACATTGGCGCTTGCTTGGAGGTGTGTGAAAAAGAGCGGGAGGTTGTAACTCAAGTAATTTTCTTTGTACATGTTGTAGAGACGCCGAATAGTGTTCGTTTGCTGTGCCGAGCTGGGCTAGTACATTTGGGTTGTCGAAAGCTGGATTAGTAATTCATTTTTGATTGTGCCGAAAATATTTCCTTATATTGTTTGGTCTTCGACCTTATTTTGGCAACGCGCTCAGTTGGCTATTTGTTATTGCCGAATGATTTAACTAGAGTGGCATCGCCGAACTTCGGAGATGGAGATGAACAAGTGAGTTGATAGGCCAATGGTGACACCAAGTAAAGCGGGTTCCCAAACTGGTTAAAGCAATGGTGGCCAAGAGATGCCGATGTACTGACTCTTGATCGGATTAGAACTCGGAGAGTGAATCGTTGCCAATCAATTTGCCACAATGGACTTATGTTTTCGGCGCATAACTGCTTGGAACTCGGCCTTCGGTTGGCATGCATTAAAAATCAGTTGCCGATCACACGTCTTGTTACTTGCTGAGATCCTTTCTTAGAGGAGCAAGACCCAATTTGTGATCCTTGAATTGGCCCTGTATATTGTTCTCAAGTCATTTCATGCGGATAACAGCGTCACCATGAGGATGACTACTGTGTTGCCGAACTGAAGTTGGGGTGAGTTGGCCATGCTTAAGTGAAATATTATTCTCGGTGGCAAAATTTTATATGCTTCATCATTTCTAGTTGGTCGAGTGCCATGAGACCATGGCATCTTATACTGCCATGAGGTGAAGGCATGTTGTATGTTGCCAAGCATTTCGTTGCCGAGATGTATGGAACATAAATGGAGCGTCGTTGCTGAGGCAGCCTTCTATGCAAAATTGTTAATGAAGTGCACAGCTTGATATAAACAATACAACTATATATATACGTATGGTTGTCGAATTGATTGTATCCACTGGAGTGCCCCATGGGAAGGTAGGTGATGACGATTATTGCCCTGGAAACAATACAGACGCTTGTCGGCAACTCGTCTTGGATTTTGATGTGTCGAAACCTATGATCGGCAACCTCTTTTTGTCGTGCTGATGGCACGAAGAACCGGGATGACGTTCGACATGGTGTCAGGAATTTGCTGATCATGCTAATAGCCGGGATGATTGCCGAAGCAACATAGGAATATATAAATCTTTAAATAAATAAACAATAAGCTACATAGAAATATGTAAAACTTTAAATAAATAAACAATTCTAGGCATGGATTTGGCCAAGCCACCCTTTGTATAATGCCAAAAAGAAGCTCCCACAAACAAAAGTGTGAAACCCAATTTTAGAGAGAAAAAGTGAAAATGCTCAAGTAGATTTAGGAGCACTGCTTTGTTTTTGTTATTGTTGGTTGTAGCAGGCAAAAATTGATATTCAAAAAACACCCCACCATAATTGGCATCACAGATATATATTCTATGTACGTAGATATGCATATTGCGAATCAAGTTGAATTAGAATGAAAATAAGAAACCCAGCCATGGGCCGTATTACTTGGAATTGATTCTAATTTTGTATAAAGTGCACTAACCTCAATTCAACCAATACATGTTTACTTATAGTAATATGCTTGTTGTGTTCTTCGTTGATCTCGTTTAGTCGTTCCCACAGACTGCGCCAATTGTGAGATCCAGAATAATCCCTCGCATGAACTGTTGTTGAGATTCAACAAAGATAGTCCTATGAAGTTGCAAGAGATAAATATGGTTGATGCCACCCTTTCGGAGTTACCGACCAGAGACACTCCAATGATGAAGTTAAAATCCATGAATGATGAGAGTATAAATCAGGAATAGTAAAGAGTGTTGTGTGTGGAGTATAGGGACAAAAAGCTCTTGTGTATGGGGTGTCCTCCTTTTATAGGGAATAGAGGATATTTGTTTAAGATATTTTACCCCACATAGCTAGGATTTTTTTCTGGCCCCCACAATAGTGACTATTTGGTTAGTTAAATAGGTGTTTAGGGTTGATTTATTTATTTATTTACTTTTTTAGTGATTTTTTAATTATTATTTTTTTTAAACTTCACATTTTTGAGTTCTACTTTTTTAGATGGAATTGGAAAAATAAATTTAAAAAACAATTAAAAAGCCTAAAAAAGTAAAATATAATTACATTTTTTTGGATTTATTTATTTAGTTAGTTTATTTTTGTCTTTCATGAACTCATTTCATTTTTTATTAAACTATGATAAAGTAAGTTGATGCAAAATGTGGCCACCACAGTCTATTATGGATCAAAGCTTGACCTAAAGAGTAGAGCTCAACAAATTATTGGTTATAAACCATTATTAATATTGTGATCGATGAATAAATATTAGATATAATTGTGATATTATGTGATGATATCATTAATTAATGAAGAATCTTATGTTGCAATAATAAGATGGCAAAATTGGATTAAGAGGGGAAAAAAATGTACACTTAATATCATTTATTTTACTAATCTTAAAAAAATGGGAAAATTATTCTAACGTCCCTCTCTCATTTTTAGTAATGAAAGAGATCCACAATATTATTTTTTGATATCTAAGATCCCTCAATCCATACTCATCTATCACAGAGAAATTTGATATTAAGAAATTTCCCTCTCATCCTCTCTCTCTCTCTCTCTCTGCTCTTCTCTCCATCTCCATCGGAACCAATCTCTCGATTTTTCAGTTGGTATCCTCTGTTGTTGCGTTTGGAATTGAAAATTCCAGTCTTCGTAACACTAGCTCTTTCGATAGAGTTTAAATTTGATGATCCTTTCACTGGAGCAAAAGGCTAGAGAGAGAGAAATGGTGGGTTGGTCGGTGGTGAGAATCTTGTGTCACGACTCTCAGGAAAAATGGAAACTAGAAAACAAATAATAATATTAATAATTACGCCCAAACAAACTCCATTGATTTCAGTTGCAAAGAAAAACACAGTTTTTTCAACACTTGATTGCAATTTGTTTCTTCCCTCTATTGACTTCTTGTTTTCAAGCAGATTTTCAAACTCCAGGTTTGATTAAACTTAACCCTCTTTCCGTGTCATTGACAGAAGGGCAAAATAAAGCCTGTTCGCATTGTTGATGTTCTTGGACATTCTCGTCTTCGACCCAAACTAGATAAGTTCTTGCCTCAAGCAACTAGCATAGTTTTTGCGGTACACGCTTTGGAATTCCGGCCAAACTATCAAGCAGTGTCAGAGTATGTGTATTATGCAATATGTGATATGTATCCAAACATGCATATGAACATGTTGTATGATGAGTCTAACATCTGATGTTTATGTGGAATAGGTACCTTTATGATATTTTGACCAGGGCTAGTGTTGTCAGAAAGAAAATTCCAGTACTTATCCTCTGCAACAAAGTAGATAAAGTGACTGCACATACCAAGGAGTTCATACGAAAACAACTCGAAAAAGAAATGTATGAACTCAAGGTTAATGTAGCCATATGATTATTCAATTACTACTGCTTCTGTGCTGTTACAATTACATCACCTTTCTTAAATAGTTATGGACTTGGTCCTCAGTGAAATTTATAGATCCATATATGTATATATATATGTGTGTGTGTGTGTGTGTTGAAAAACAGAGCTTGTTATTACAATTCAGAGAAAATTATAATTACTACAAATTTCTCTGCACTTTTTATGTGTTTTTTATTGAACATGTTATTTTTTGTCTACTTTTCTTGGCAACCAAACAAACTTTATGCTTTATGGTTCACTTGAAATCCAGAGAAAATTCAGAAAAAATCTCTAGACTGGAATCCAAAGAATTTCTCTGGCCTTCCCAGAATTTCTCTTCTCTAAAAAGTCCAGAGAATTCTCTAGGTATATGTATATTGCTTGGATTGATGTTCATGATAAGTAAAGAAATTTGTGGGTTTGTTAGTAAAGATTGTGTTGTTGCCTTACGTATTACAAAAAGTCAGAAAAATTCTTTGTGAATAGAGCCAGAGAAATTTGTGAAGTTAGAGAAATTTTGTGGATCAATGTACAATCACCATGGTCTGTTCATAAAAATACAACTCTGCTGCAAATAAAGAGAATTTCTTTGGTTTCAATCTAGAAAATTTCTCTGATCTGTCAGGTTTGGAAAGAATTTATCTGGTTTTGGACCAGAGAAATTTGTGGGTTTGTTAGTAAAGATTGTATAGTTGGCTTATATATTACACAAAGTCAGGGAAATTCTTTGTGAATAGAGCTAGAGAAATTTGAGAAGTTAGAGAAATTTCCCGTATCAATGTACAATCACCAAGGTTTGTTCATAAAAATACAACTTAGCTGCAAATAGAGAGAATTTCTCTGGTTTCAATTTAGAGAATTTCACTGATCTGTTTGGTTTGGAGAGAATTTCTCTGGTTTTGGACCAGAGAAATTTGTGGGTTTGTTAGTAAAGATTGTATAGTTGACTTATATATTACACAAAGTCAGAGAAATTCTTTGTGAATAGAGTCAGAGAAATTTGTAAAGACAGAGAAATTTCCTAGATAGCCACACAAATTTTCTCTCCACAATTTTCTCTAAATTTCTTTGGTACTTAGGGAAATTTCAATTTTTTCTGGTTTGAACTCAGAGAATTTCTCTAGGACTGCAATTTCTCTGGATCAATGTTGAGGGACCTTAAACATCATAAAAATATTTGATACACTTTATGCTATAAAATCTTAGGACCTTAAAAAAAATCTCCCTAAAAAAATATATCATTTATTATATTTTTTTAACAAATAAGTAAAATAGTCTTCCCACACAATTTTTGCCCACATCTCGTTGATCTTCCTCATCATCACCTACCTTTCTCTCCATCAACGTCTCTAGTATTAATGATTTAGTTGACACATATTAAGGTTAATTATACCAAATTTTTCATAATTATTTGTAAATATCAACTTATCCCCTTACTAATGAATTGGTATATTTTAATACCTTCAATTATTAAAATGAATTAATTTCTCCACTCTAGACCATTTTTAGAATGGGGATATTTATACGATTTTTATAATTGAACGAGTTAATTTAAACAAGTTCATAGATAGAGAAGGTAAAATCATATTTATAAATAGTTGAGGAAATTTTGGTATAATTAACCCAACATTTTATTGAAGTTTAGCTTCAATTGAGGTCTCTAATGACAATTTGCTTTTCTTTTCTTTTTTTTTTTCTCTTTTTTTGATAAAGTTCATTTTACTCCGTTTTATTTGAGACCGGAATATTTTATTCTCTTATGATTTAAATATCATATAATTTCTACAGTTAGTTTTTTCAACCAAATTAACAGAAAGTGTTCACATATGCTATTTTTTATAGTGGGGTGAAATGGAAAAAAAGAAAAGAAAAAAGAATGAAACTATACGCACTAATTGGTATACTAATTAGTGTACTAACGGATAATGTGACATAATTTTAGAGATTTTGAGTATTTGTAGTTTGTATAATAAGTGATGTCTAAAATTTTGAAGTGACAATGCCATAATATATGTTAGTATATTAATTGATATACTAATTAATTCGTGTAACATGACTAAAAAAATTGACTAAACAAAATCAGTTTTTATCAGAAATAATAATGTTACAATTAATTTCAATTTCTAAATTAATGTTTAGTAGTTGGAAGACGTAAAATATCTAAAGCGGTTTCATGTCTAATTCTGTGTGCTGCGCAACGTTATGGTCACAACAATTATTACTAAAAATAATTTATTAGTATTTATTAGGAGGCAGATTGACTTAGTCTGCGCTGTTGGGCCGTTCGAATTGTTTAATTTTTTAGATCACAGCAGGTAAGTTATCTAAAAATTAAATAAAATAGAATTATTTTAATCTAATAATTGTAGTCACTTTAGTTTATGATATTTATTTATCAAAAAAAATAAAAATAAGTGACAAATATTATTTGAAAAGTAAATTATTTATATTTGGGAAGATAAATGCAATAAAATAATGTAATTACAATTATTTAATCGACTTAATTTTTTTATAAAAAATTTACATAGGTTTCATGTCTAATTCTGTGTGCTGCGCAACGTTATGGTCACAACAATTATTACTAAAAATAATTTATTAGTATTTATTAGGAGGCAGATTGACTTAGTCTGCGCTGTTGGGCCGTTCGAATTGTTTAATTTTTTAGATCACAGCAGGTAAGTTATCTAAAAATTAAATAAAATAGAATTATTTTAATCTAATAATTATAGTCACTTTAGTTTATGATATTTATTTATCAAAAAAAAATAAAAATAAGTGACAAATATTATTTGAAAAGTAAATTATTTATATTTGGGAAGATAAATGCAATAAAATAATGTAATTACAGTTATTTAATCGACTTAATTTTTTTATAAAAAATTTACATATTGTAGTTTAAAAAATGAACGAATCAAATAATTAAAGAAGAGCTCATAGTGGGCCTCACAAGCCTAAATAATATGATCTAGATAATCTGCCTCCTATTTGTTACCATGCACTTATATCATATTTAATTATAGAATCTTCCCGTCTAGATTTTAGACTGGAAGGTACTGTTTGGGTCTGTAGGGCCCAATACGGGTCCTGGTTCGATTATTCAAATATTTTATTTTGTTGGGTACTTTGTGTATTTCGTTCACAAAAAAATTAAGTCGATCCGATAACGGTAAATTGTTCAATTTTTTACTAAAAAAATAGATAACAATTGTATTTTAAAAAATAAATCATACATTTTTTTGAGTGACAAATGTAATAAATTGAATAAGTTGCAGTTATCGGATCGATCTAGTTTTTTTTATAAATGAAATAGATGAAGTGCCTAATAAAAGAACGGTTCGGATCATAGAAACAGAATAGATAATAGGTCCCACAAACCCAAACAACACTCTCTAATTTAAAATCTAGACGGGTAGAGATCCTCCTTCTTTAATTATATGCCATGCATGTATTTGACGTAATATTGTTAATATCATATGAGTTGGCAACATTAAATGGCCTAACCATAGAGGATAATCTCTAGAGTTAGATGGTAAGGAGCTGCGGCTCCAAAGATTAACACTTAAATTAAATGGAATCAATTTAAGAAATTATACATAGAATTGAAAATATAAAATATATGAAGAAATAAATAAATAAATAAAATTAAAAATGAATCCACTGACAAATTCGTCAAAATCTTATCCGTTCTAGAAATTTGTGTGCTTAGTGTCTTCGTAACATAATTGTATCGTAATGTGTCACTGTACCATTTATATTGTTTACGTGTAATCAAAGAATTATTATTCGGTGCACGTGGAACAATATTTCATATTAGAGAATGGCTAGTCATCCAATTTTTTGTGGTTGTTTAATATTGTTCTATACAATATAAAAGTTTTAGGTATTAATTTTTTTTTCCTAAAAAATAAAAATTCTGTGGTCATATATATATGGATTGTCACCAAAAAAACTGTTGCAAAAATTTAAAATAAATAAATAAATGTTTAGCAACAAAATTTGAAGTGTCACTAATAAATTAGGAACAAAACAATTCTCTCCTAAAAAGTTTTTACTTTTTGAGAAAAATATTTTAGTCCCAAAAGGGTAGTAATTTATTACTAAACATCTAATTTCATAGTAAAAAATACAAGAATGACTCTCTTGACAATTGAAATATTTTTATTCTTAAAAAGTGATTTCGTTCTTTAATTTTTGTCCTTAAAATATTAATTTATTGTAGTGTTGAGTCCTACATAGATATTCATTATTGGTTCTTTATTATTTAGAGAAAAAAACAATTAATGAAAATAAATAAATTTTTTCCTTAAAAGAATAAGTAATAGATCAATTATTTATCAATTGGCATATCTTATATTGTGTTTTAAAAACGTAGTACTATCCATCTAAAAAATTAGACTCATTTTTTAAACTCAATGATATGACAGTGTATTAAAATATCTAAAGCAAATATCTCTCATATCTTTTCTAATCATCCACTAATCATCTTATTTTTATATCATTAAATTTAGAAAGTGTATTTATGGATCAATTTCTACTTTAAAATACCAAGACAAAAGGGATGGATTCTACCATCTAAACTAATGGCTAGAAAATTGAAGTGTCACTAATAAATTAGGAACAAAACAATTCTCTTCTAAAAAGTTTTTGCTTTTTGAGAAAAATATTTAGTCCCAAAAGGATGGTAATTTGTTATTAAATATCTAATTTTATCATAAAACATATAAGAATGACACTTTTGACAATTGAAATATTTTTGTCCTAAAAAAGTAATTTCGTTCTTTAATTTTTATCCTTAAAACATTAATTTATTGTAGTGTTGCGTCCTGCGTAGATATTCATTATTGGTTCTTTATTATTTAGAGAAAAAGCAATTACTGAAAATAAATAAATTTTTTCCTTAAAAGAATAAGTGATATATCAATTATTTATCAATTGGCATATCTTATATTGTATTTTTAAAAAGTAGTACTGTTCATCTAAAAAATTAAACTAACTTTTTAAACTCAATGATGTGACAGTGTATTAAAATATCTAAAGCAAATATCTTTCTTATATTTTTTTTTAATCATCCAGCAATCATCTTACTTTCACATCATTAAATTTAAAAAGTGTATTTATTTATCATTTTCTACTTTAAAATATTAAGACAAAAGCTATGGATTCTACCATCTAAAGTAATAGCTAGTAAATTGAAGTGTCACTAACAAATTAGGAACAAAACAATTCTCTCCAAAAAAAACTTTTACTTTTTGAGAAAATATTTTAATTCTAAAAAGATAATAATTTATTACTAAATATCTAATTTTGTCATAAAAAATATAAAAATGACACTTTTAACAATTGAAATATTTTTATTCTTAAAAAGTGATTTTGCTCTTTAATTTTTGTCCTTAAAATATTAATTTACTATAATGTCGCGTCCTACATAGATATTAATTATTGGTTCTTTATTATTTAGAGAAAAAGCAATTAATGAAAATAAATAAAAAAATTTCCTTAAAAGAATAAGTGATATATCAATTATATATCAATTTGCGTATCTTATATTGTATTTTAAAAAAATATTATTATTCATCTAAAAAATTAGATCCATTTTTTAAACACAATAATATAATAGTATATTAAAATATTTGAAATAAATTTCCCTCTTGTATCTTCTCTAATGATTCATCAATCACTTCATTCTCACGTCATTAAATTTAGAAAGTATATCTATTTATCATTTTCTATTTTAAAATACTAAGACAAAAGCGATGGATTCTACCATCTAAACTAATACCTCTTCTTCTCTGCGAAGCATAAATACCCAGAAGCTATTTCTTTTCATGACCACCTCTTGTGCTAAAAACATGGACCAAGATGGTGCAGAATATATGGCCTCCCCTGAAAGTGCAACAGAAGAGCTTCATGCAGTTATAGAGTTGGGTAGTATTGACTCACAAAGACTAATTGATGGAGTAGGACAGAGAACACAACCACCTTTGAAATCACTCTCTTCTGCTCAAATGGAGTCCCTCTCTGCCTTGTGCGACACCTTCTTACCATCCATCAATGTCTCCAATGGCACCACCATTGATGATGACTCACTTGCTACATTTTATCGAACTTCTGCCACCATGGCCGGAACTCAACACCGGGTACAAATATACAGACATCACCTTTGGCATCGTATAAATCTACACCATAGATTTAAATTTTGGTCACGCTTTTTGAAAAATTGTGGTACATAGTTTAGCTTTTGGATATATTGATATTAGGAAGTCGGGGGAGGGAGGTTTTTATAGTTTTCTGGTTTCTAATTGTCAGTAGTTTTCAACTTGCAAAAAGTTTAAATCTTAAAAAAAAAAAAAAAAAAACCTTGAGCCAAATAGGTCCATTGTTGGGTTATCAAAACTATGGTTTCAACAAATCATAGGTGGAAGTTTTGTCATCCATGTTATCTTTGCCATTGTACGCTTTATTTTGTATGTCTTTATACACTTTATTTCTCAATTTATTTGTCTCTCCACGAGTGAGACAAGATCGCACGTGAAGATAAATGTTTACTTAATATAAATTGTTAGATCTAGAAAATCATGGGTTCAAGTCGTGTTCTCCTGCCATCTCTATCATTATGTATTGTGTTCTCCCTTTCTATCCTCAACACACTTTGTTTCTCATCATTTTGTTTGTTATGAAGGGAAGTATTAACTTAATATATATCATTGGGTTCATTTTTTACAAACTTGTGAAGAAAAGCTTTAGACATATTATGAGTTGGTTCCTAATAATTGAAAGGTGCTTGTCTCTCAATTTGTTAGTTGAGAAGACAAGTGTTAGCTTGAGATACATTATTTAATTTATTTTTTAATAACTTAAACTTTTGAGACAATTGATGACTATAAAGTCTTCTAGCAAGTATTATTAAACTTCAATTTTTATTTTTATTTTTAAACTTTGCTAGCTCTTTAGTGGTTTTGTTGTGGATGGTTTTGTAGGTTGAAGAGTTGATTATGGTGAAATTGCAACATCCAAAGCTTTTTTTGATGAGATTAACATTGTGGTTCTTGTCAACATGGATTGGGACATTGATACTATGTGGAAGAGCAAGCTTGTCAAGCCATTTTCCATACTTTCAAAGGTTCTCAAAGGTTTCACAGCAGAAGAGAGAAGAGATAGTGCATTCATGGTCTGTGAGCTTTATCTATTTGCTAAGAATGTTCTTCTTAAGCGCGAAGTTTCTCATTCTACTCACTTTCTTTACTCAGGTATACGTACATGCAACACTTGTTTTTGTTTTTGTTTTTGTTTTATTTTATTTTTTTTGTGATAGAGTTGTGCCTAAGAACGTAGAAACCAAAAAATACCGAGTTAGAGATCAACATAAAAACATATATATATATTTTTTTGTTTGTTTTTAGTGATTTTTTTTTATAATTTGTATAAAAAAAAAATTTCAGATTAGTCTAATGTAAAAGGACCTAGAAAGCTCGCGCAAAAAAAAAAAAAAAAAAAGGAAAAAATCTATAAAAAAAAAAAAAGAAGTTAACTTTAATGTAGGGGGAAAATATAAAACTAAATTTAATTATTTAGGCCCCGTTTGGGAACAGGCTAATTTAGTAACTTTTTGACTATTTGGCTAAAATATGAGCTAAAAAAAACTAGTATGTTTGGGATGATTTTTTGACTTTTTACGAAAAGATGTACAAAAAGTAGAGAGAAGTTTGGGATGATTTTTTGACTTTTTACGAAAAGATGTACAAAAAGTAGAGAGAAAATAGAATTTTTGACTTTTTGGTATGGGTTGTAGGCTTTTTGACTAATTTAGTAACTTTTTGACTTTTTGACTAAAAAGTTCGGTTGCCAAACGAGGCCACAAGATATGGCAATATAAATTATAGATTAGTAATTTCCAAGTCTCCTACCTTGATGGGCAAGTGGAGTTACTGTGATGGGTAAGTAGAGTTATAGTTATATTAGGAAACTGATCATCTCTCTACTTATAAAAGCATATTTAAATCACCCATCAACTATTTTGAATATAATGTATTTTAAAGATGGTCAAGAGAAACATTTTTCCACTAATATTGTTATTAGGTTTATATTCAATCAATTTTTGATCACTTGAGTCTCGCATAATTGATCCGGATATATAATTTATTTTCCGTATTATGTTATTATTTGTGAAAATCATAATAGTTCGCAATTTTAGATTATGAATGTTGTTATATATATAACACTATAAAACTATTGGTTTTTTTTATTATTATTATAGTTTTAGTCTTTTTTGGTTGAGTAGAACGGGAAATTGTAAAATTTCCTAAAAGTCTTATTTTAAAAAAAAAGTTCATTAAAAAGAAAAATTCTTACCGATGAAATCCATATTACAAAAAAAAAAAAAATCCCATACTCATTTTACAAAATTTAGTGATGAAATTAACTTCTAAATTTTTTTATCCATTCATATGATATTCACTATCTGGTTGAGTGATCAATTTCTATATTCCTAAACTAATTCTTTGGTCTAGTATGAAAAGGAAAGGTGAGGTTGCCCTCATAAACCCTTCAATCAATGATATGCCAAGAGTATTTATATGAAAAATGTTATATATTGCTGTATATATGTGTCAATGCATGCATGGTGCTTTGCAATGGATAGGGAAACTAATTTTTATAGGTACTCATTTAATAATTAATAATTAATTTTCAAAGATAAAAAACAGAAAAACAAAAAAAACGCATGCATGGTACACATATTTTCATAGATATGGCCTTTAAACATTCTTTGAGTTTTTACCCGAAATTAAAAGCTGCTTACTCTCAGTTGAAGTGTCCTGTACATCATCTATACGTAGAGTTCTATGTGTACTTGAAGTTAGGGTGGATATTATATAAGGGTGTAAATTTGGTCTGGTTCTGTCTAGCTTATATTGGGTCTTGCAAGTTCTCGCCAAAATTCTGGCCGGACTGGACCGGCCGGCGGACCAAAAAATTAGACCTAGGCCTAGGAGGTATTTGGGCCTTGGGCAGGTCGTACTGATGGGTCTAGGCCTGAGCTCAGGTTTGGGTAGGACTTGAACGTTTTTTTTTTTTGTTTTTCACCAAAAATATATTTTTTTTTCCATAAAAAATGACACTGGACCTTGAGTCGGGTTTTGAGTGGACCTTGAGTGAGTCGATGGGTCAGACTTCAAAATGATAATCCAAACCTAAGCCCGGGCCTAAGGTCCCGGGCTAGGCTCAGACCGGACTCACCCGAACCATGAGCGGATTTCGAACCGTTCACAAATCGCGAGTCATTTTTACGTTCCTAATATTATATCAAATTAATAAAAAAAGAAGTACGTACTAAAGCTATTACAAAACTTTATACAACTTCACTTCATTGCTCACACCGAATTGACATTTTGACTTAGATAATATACATATTCTTCTCTTGATTAGTGACAAAATTTTAAAAAATGCTAGTGTGTCAATTGTAATAAAAAGAATTAAAAAATTGCTAGTGCGTCAATTGTAATAAAATTTTTATACAAAATTCTCCATCATCTTGTTTGTCAAAATTACAATAACCATTCCTATCATTGAATAACTAAGTTGAAGGAGACTTTACCCTTTTTTATATTTAGCCAAAATTCACTTCATCAAAAAAAAAGCACACACACAAATCAACAAATATTGATAGGAAAATATTGATATAAGCAAATGGTGCATTGTTAATGATAGAATATTTATTTGATTGGGTCGTCCTTTCTTACTTTCAATTTGTATTTTCATTAAATAGTCTATACAATTCACTCTTTATTTTCAATAATTTATAATTAAGGGCTTCGGAGGTTTTCAATTTTTGTTTATTTTTGGGTATAAAAATATTACCTTTAAAGGTTGGAGTTTCATTTTTTTTTTTCCTTTTATTTTTTAAATTTTCCATTTGAGGTGGTGGAATTTTTTTTGGGTGTGCATATGACAAAAGTGAGGACATTTTTGGAAGGAAATATTAAGAGGGCAATGATGCGCTGTCAGTTTTTAAGAGTATTGGTGGAAGTTGCAGAAGAATTTATTGTTGGGTTCTATATTGCATTTAATGCCTTCTAATTGAAGGCTCAGTCTGTTGTGTTGCATTTATTTGGACAGTAATGCTACAGTCGGATGACCGTATGCCTCCGTTATTGTGTCCACCACGTAAATGATGTGGTACCGACACCAAAGTTGCTGGTTTGTTTTTGGTGAAATGAAACCCAAGTTACACTAAAAAATAAAATATTAATATCAAAAACTAATATTGATATTATAATTATTTTATTACTACAAACTTTATAAAATGTTTATAATCTCATACATTATTATTATTTTATTAATTAAAAAGGTCTCATATCTCATATATGTTATTATTATAATAGTAATTTATGAGGTGATAAACAATGACCAAATATTTTTATTTTGTTAACGAACAAGTCTTTTTTGTGTATAGTGTGCGTATTTTTCTGTACATATTGCAAGTCTTCTTTATATGTCAGAATTGCGTCAAATTTTATTTATTTATTTATTTATAGGGTAATTATTTTTTATTATTCCACTGAAATGCTATTACCCCTCAAAAAAATAAAATTTATTTTTAACTTGTTCAAATTCTATTTTGAATAAACAGTTTGGTTTCAATTTCAAAAGGAATTAGAAATTGTTGATTAAATTTTGGGGCAATTACACAACAGTAGAGATTATAAATATTATTTACAAAAAAATGATAAACATTATAAATATTGATAATTAAAATCATAATTCTTTTCACTTTTTTGTAAATAATTTTCTGGATCCCACTGATGTGTAATTCTTCCTTAAATTTTTCACTTTAAGTACTTGTTTAGAAGAGCCTGAAAATATATTTTTTGAAAAATCCAAAAAAAAATACAATTGATTAAACACCAAAAAAAAATAAAAAAGAAGAAGAAGTTAATGTAGCATTTTTTGGATTCTTTTTCAATTTATTATTATTTTTTATATTTTGAGATTTTTCTAATCTAGAAAAACTTTAAAAGAAATTATTGTTGACACAAATTTCTTTAATTTTTTAAGTCTTTGCCAAACAAAACCATAATATGAAGAAATTATTTTATTTTTATATATTTTAAAATTTTAAAACATATTTATAAAAAAGTTAAGAATACTTGTGTATGTAAAATTAATTTAGATACAGTGATAGAATATTTTTACTTATAACCATTGAACCAAAACGATTTTTTTTTTAATCAACAATTTATTATTTTTTTGAAATTGGAGCTAAACCATTTCCTTAAAAAATTGTACCAAAAATACAATTTCAACAAATTCAAAATCAGTTTACGATTTGATTTTTTTTTTTTTTTTTTTAAGAATTGTATTTTTAAACCAATGGGCTTTAGCTTAGTTGACTAATCTTTTGGTCACCAAGTCTCACCCTAACGCTGTGTTTGGTTAGGGGATTTGGGGAGGGATTTGGAAATAGAAAGGGAAAGGGAAAAGATGTGCGAAACTAGGTAAAATATAGGCATGTTTTATTCACATTTCACCTATCTTTTCTATTTTTCTTTCCAAATCTCTCCTCAAATTCCCCAACCAAACACAGCATAAGGGAAACTTGGGTTTCAAAGAGTATAATGGATAAGATGGTAAGATTTTCTTTCAATATATATGAATGTGAATTTTAAATTAATCAAATATTTGTAATCCTAAAACAAGACAATATTCTTTTGTAAAAACATAAACGACTATCATAATTTTAATAATGTATGAAAAAATAATTAGAATTCAATCATGGGACTATACATATTTGATTAACCTAATTTTTTAGGTAGATGATATCTTTGACAAATTTTTGTAATATAAACAGTTTGGATCATCAAAATAAGACCAGAACAATAGTGTGAATGTTTCATAATGTGATTATTCACACTGTAAAATATGAATGTTCACATTATAACTAAGTATTCAAAAAATATTTGTAAAGATAAAATTATTTATAAAATACTTTAAATATGATAATTAAGATTTAGTAAATCAAATATCTAAATAATAAGATTTATTTAAATATAAAAATATATTATGTATTAATTGAAATAAAAATACTTAAAAAAAATATTTGAAAAAAAATTTCCAAATAAATTTCCCAATATAATAATTATAACGTTAATATTATTTTTTGATACCATGAATTTTTCTTTTTTCGTTTTTAACTCGGACTTTTCCCTAAGAAAAACGGCAGCATCAGCGTCGAGGATTTTGGCATTTGTGA